CAATTGGAATAAATTTTAACCTCAAATTAAATATGGGTCACGTTTGGAAGAATGCTGATATGAGATATAAAACATAACGCATTGTCTGTTAACAGACAATTTGTTAATGGTTCATTTGTTTTTGTAAATCTGACTGTAAAAGAGTCAGTGCCTCACCAGCTGTCAACCTCACCGCACGTCACTGACAGACACACACCAGGAGTGGAACACAAAAGGAGTTTATTGGAAAACAAAGGTCAGGTTACTGACATGACAGAGCAGTAGGGAGAGACGAGTTAAAAAACAGGAAGCACAGACGCAAACCGTAACATAATGTGCTTTTCCCTGTTATGTGATTTCATCTCCCTTATGTCGTCACTGTAAAGAGTCAGCCCGACTGCCTGCTCTCACATTCATCTCTCCTCTGCCTTCCTCAGGGGCGCTGTGCACGTGAAAACTGTAAATACCTGCACCCACCTCCACACCTGAAAACCCAGCTGGAGATTAACGGGAGGAACAACCTGATCCAGCAGAAGGCAGCAGCAGCCATGTTGGCTCAACAGATGCACTTTATGCTACCTGGAGCACAGCTGCAACCCATAGTGAGTACAAAACTGTGATTGTTCAAGTAATGCAGTGTGTTTAATGTTGCGCCTGTTCTGTGATGTTGTTATTTTCAGTTGCAGAATAATGATTGTGCTGCTGCTCATACCTGCAGATGGAATTTTCTGGCAGAGACTGAATTCTTTTCCAAACATAGTCACTGGATATTTTGACATAAAATGAAATATCCAAAATGATCATTTACTTATTAATGCTATATGGTATTTTATCATATGTTTTGTTCAGAACTCTTGTATATCAAAATCACTTTGGACAGTCACTTTGATTTTGTTCAGCCTCAGTAAAGGCAGAATTGGAAGGCCCATCTAAATCTTACTCAGCCCTTTGTTGAGTAAGTAAATATGAAATTGCTTAAATGTCAAAAGTAATGTAACATTTTATGTATTTTCTGTTGTTTATGTTTTTTAAAATTGTCTTTTCTTCAAAGCTTTAGGTATTGAATTGTTCTCAAGACTCTATAAAACACACAGTATTGGTTAAGTTCCCTCCAAATCGTGTCCTAAAGCTGATGAAAACTCTGCTGTAACTTCTTGTTTAATCAGTCTGGTCTCAGCCATTCTCTGTTTTCCTCAGACAACATTTTCAGCGACGCCCTCCCTGGCAACAAGTCCCAATATGGTGTTCAGTCCATATCTGAGCCACATGGGCCCAGGCATGGGCTTGATGCCTGAGCTGCTGCCCAGTACTCCCCTGCTGGTTCCTGGGAGTCCCACTGGCCTGGCAGCCCTGGGTAATGGCACATCTGCACAAAAGCATGTGCGCACAGATAAGCTGGAGGTATGCAGCTTGCAATCAGTTTTTGTGCTTCTATGTTTGTCTAAAGTATGATAAAAAGTAAATAGTGATCAGCGGTTCCATTGCCCCTGCCAGGTTTGTCGAGAGTTCCAGCGTGGTAACTGCACGCGGGGTGAGAGCGACTGTCGCTACGCTCACCCCCTGGAGGCCAGCATGGTGGATTGCAGTGAGAACTCGGTCATTGTCTGCATGGACTACATCAAGGGCCGCTGCAGCCGAGACAAGTGCAAGTACTTCCATCCCCCGGCTCACCTGCAGGCAAGGATTAAGGCTGCACAGCACCAAGCCATTCAAAACACATCTTCTGCAACCTTGGTGAGTCCATCTCAACACTGAGAACTCTACACATTAGTCAAGGGCTTGAGTATTGTATCTGCTTTTCTATGATATATTTAGAGAAAAACAGGTGTAAGGCAACACTCACCTGCTTAAAAGTTACAGTCAACACAACAATCAAACAGCAGAATATATTTTCTTCTGTGCTTGGATACTGTGTACTGATGTCATGATGGATCAGGGTGTCACTATCTCTCAGCCAGCTTGAAATTTGATAATGTAGTCTGGGGATTATGTTTTTTTCCCCTAAATGTCAGCTACTGTGCTTATGTCTGAGCCTGTATCAGTGAAGCAAGCTACAAGGGCTAGTTCAGGGCTAGGTAATCTGCAGTGCTGGAAAAGAAAAACAGGAAGCACTTTATTAGAAAAAGACAATGTGACCACTATTTATATAGTCTTGATCATGTAAGGATAAATGAGGTTATGGGGACAGTCACAACATGCAATTCTGTGTGTTAAAGATTGCTCGGTTTATAGCAATGTTTTATTAGAGTCATTAAAAAGTAGTTATCCTTCACTGCAGTTTGATGTTTCAGCCCCAGTAATGGATGAAATCATAGCAATCCCACTGTGTTCTTGGCCTGACCTGCATCACTTCAGCTAAGATACTGTACTGCAGTGTCCTCTTGTGGTGCTGAACAGGAACTTCCATGTCAAATGCATACTGGGCCTAAAGAGCACAAAGACAACAGTATATTTACTCTGAGATAACACCAGTACAGTCTTTTTGTTTTTTTACCACAAGGACACATTTGGTAGCTGGCAGGAGCCATTGTTGAATGATAATTTATCTCTTCCTTCCCATGGTTTTCTTCCTGGCCAGGCTCTGCCACAAGGGGCTGTGCAGCCGCTACCGAAGAGGCCGATCTTAGAGAAGAGCAATGGAGCTGCTGCCACTGTCTTCAACCCCAGCGTATTCCACTACCAGCAAGCCCTGGCTAACATGCAGCTCCAGCAACCAGCCTTCATCCCCACTGGTGAGCCTCTACACACATCAGTGACACCAAAAGATTTATCCATCCAGTGTTAACACATGTAGGAACTAAATTATTGGTCATGGACTCACAGAGTGTCATTTAAAACTGCTGTGGGCAGACGAATGCAAGGGAGTTACAGGTGTAACAGTCTCTGTGTGCATGCTGTGTCTGTGCAAGGATTCTCTAAAGTGCAACAGCTTCCCCCATTCTGTCACTGCATGCTTCTCTTCCTTCCGCTGTCTCTTATGTTGCTTGCATGTGATTCACTGGTGCTTGACATGAATTGAGAGTTTTTGAAACAAAATTAGAAAACAGATGTTGCTGTAATAGTACAAACAGAATGAAAAACAGAAGAAACACATCAGGATGCCATTATGTGGAAGTGTTGTTGCATGGTGCATGTGCTTTGGCTGAAAGTAGCAATAAATAAAAGAAAGTAGCAGCTGACAGTGCAAACAAAGAGAGACAGGACAAAGGACATTACCAAAACCAGCCCTGCTCTTACAACCATGTTTAAAGTAACCATGAGATGATTTTCATGTGTTTTTGCACTAAACTGGATGTTTAGTTGTTATATCCAGAGAGTTGATTTGAAAGGTTTAATTAGATTTGAACAATGGGTTGTCTGGAAATGTTTCATCACATTTTAATGGATGAAATTAGTGCTGAGATAATTAATCAGTTAATTGATTTAGGTGGTTGAATTCTTTGTCAGCAATTTTTTAAATCGCGTAATCATTCTGGGTATCTTCTGGGTATCAACAGTGAAAACACCTGTAGTTTGTCTGAACTGTAAAGAAATGGTGGTTAGTGGAAGCTTTGAAGGCAGTCAGACATGAATTATTGATTTGTCACATGCCTGCCTCATATAGCACACAGGTTCACACATACACAAACACAGAGCAAGTACAATATATCTGCTCATGGACATTTAATATGCAGTTTTTCTTCAATTCTTGGTACTTGGGTTTATAATACTGATCAGAGCATCCATGTCTTGTCTCTACATCAGCTGAAAGCAGTTACCTATCAACATCTTGTGTTTGTGACAGCTTCACTGTCACTTGTGTTCCCTGCACTAGCCTTTACCTGCTGTTGCTAGTTACATTTTCAGCTCTTTGTCCTGCTTTTCTTCTCATTTTCTTCTTGCAGTCCTTCTCATCCACTCTCATCCTTTTCTTGTTCCTAGCATGTGTCTATCTATTATGTGACTGTTCTGTATGTGGTACCCTCAGGACACCACAGCTGGGAATCAGCATCTGCGCTGTATGTGGTAATGGACTCTACTGAATGATTAAAGGACAACCTGACCACACTGATTAATGTGTTTTAGCCAGTCAACTACAATTAATATTACTGCCCATTCAATATAATAGACCTGAAGAAAGTTTGGGACTTTTGTCTAACAGTGACAGTGAATGGCTGGTGTGTGTTTTATTGTTTGAAATGTTGGCAGAAAATGCAGGGAACAAGGTGAAACAGTGATGCCTGGCTGAACTCAACCTGAGGTCGTTGCAGTTATGTTGTCAGTGCCCTAGACCCTTAAGCCAACAAGGCACTTTGAAAGAATAGAAAATGTTTTGAAAACTCTCCCTTATGTATCCAAAGAAGCTCTGACATTGAAATTTGGGTTTTGCTGCTGCTGAAAAAAAAATCTGAAGCTTAGAAAATTAAAAATTGGTGGTTGCTTTTATACCTCTGATGTCTCCCTAAGGTCTTCTGAACAAAACAGTAAAAAAAAAAGCTTTAAAAGCAGTCCTTACCCACAATTGCAACCATATGTGACATGGTTGGTACTGTAATGGATAGTAAAGGTGACTAAATGTCTTGGATTACCTCTTTTTGACAAGCGCTAGGTTTCTGTGTGTTGATTTTTATACTGTCAGTTCATTGGTGAACAATAGTATAAAACTGAAGACATTTGCAGGCAATTAGCTTAAAGTGGTCCTTCAGAGTTGTTAGTAGAGACTGTTTCCCCCAGAAATCTTTTCTGGCACAGTGTAAAGAGGACGATAGAGGTTTTGCATGCACACGTTAAAAATTTGGTTATTTATTTCTCACGCAACACCAGACTTTTGGTTGTTAATTTCCATGTAAAGGTCACGTAAAACAAGAAGAGTATTTCAAAATATTTATTGGGCACAAATAACTGTCAAAGCTACTAGTTACTTCACAATCAAAGAGGTTAGAACAAACAATCTTTGTAGATAGATCCACATAATTAAATATATCAAATAATAAAACTATAATAAAATGGTGCAGACTGCAATTTGAGCTGCTCAGCAATTTGAAACAAACAGCTCATTTTCTCATAATGAGCACAGTGTGCATGATTCATTGCTGCACTTAATTTGTCTTGGTGTTGAAAAAAGTTCACTATGGCATCAATGAATAAAAAGCTCTTCCACCGCTCTGGGTCCCAGCTAGATGTTCTTTATGCTTCTATCCACTGGTTAACCTGCAGCTTGCGTTTGACCCATAGCCTGTATACCTGCGTCACCGATGCTTATGCTAACACCGGAGCTCTCACACCTCTCCCCCTTCTGCCACTTCTTGACCTCTCCTGCCATGCCCGTAGGGGAAACACCGCACCCCTCTGGGAGAACATAACAGATTATTGTTTCAGCTACTGAAGAGTATGTGAGTTGAGCTGAGTTAGCTTCACGGCCATTACAAACGTTGTAATGGCCGTAATTTGTCTCAGTGAGTTCATGGCCCCAATGGACAGATACAGCAATATTCAACACCACATAATAATAATGTAACACTACACGTAGGAAAATTTAAAACACACAAAGTGCTATAGATGTAAAAAATAAGCTGAGGTCTGCAACTCAGAGGTTAAACAGATATGAGAGACATTCGTTTTGTTTATTTCATTTCATCATGTCTGTGTGTCGTCACGCTTGCCTTCATGTCCTGTTTGTTTAACGAGTCATGCTTTGTGTTAGCAGTTCATTAATTCATTTCAGCTCTGTGTGAGCATGCCTGGTGTGTGTACATGTGTGCAGGTAGCTCAGGGAAGCAGGATGACGGCCAGCATTTGATGCTCTTGCTGTGAGCCTTCCTCCTGTCTCTTGTAGGGCTTATGAAAAGCCCGGCCCCGCTGGCAGCGGAAGGCCCCTGGGAAAGGAGGGAGTGGAACAGCTGCAGGCAAAACCCCAGCCGCTTCCTGTCAATGCCCGGACTCAGTGGTGAGGGGACCCTATAGGTTATCCCTGCCCAGACCCCACCTGTAATTGAGCTAAGTGTAGAGCATTTCCCAGATTTTGTACAGCTGTGTGATTAAAACTATTGACAACATTTATACTAAAATATCAGAATAATAGATAGTTAACCGATAGTTTTGGATAATTTGCTCATTTTACATGTTTATTTACAAGTCTATTTCATAAATGTAGGAAAATATGTGTGAACCCAATTAAAATCTAGAGCAGTGAGCCAGGCTTCTCATCTGTGATAGTCTGGTGCTGAGGTGTCAACAGTGATTACAGACTAAATACTAATGAAAGATTCAACATATATGAGAATCAGCAAACCTACTGTACCACTACAAAACACACACAAGGTAAACTGCCGCTGTGGAGATCTGAATTTCGTAGATGCTAATTGTAACAGGTTTCCTGAAGATGTGTTGTCGTGTGTGTGTAGTTGTGTGTGTGTGTGTGACAGAACTGCTCTATGCATTTCCTGACTTGTTCTCCATCCATATTGCATTTACCACTGCTGCATGCTGATATATTAACAGCAATTGGGAAAATAAATTTACTGTCATTAAAAGCAGAAACTCAACGATGAGAGACAGAAAACAGTGTTTAATGTGTTTGTTGCTGTTGAACTCAATAAAATAAGTTTACAGGATGTCTTGTGATGATAATATTTTACAACTGTCACGACTGTAGTGCAGCTTTGTAATTTGTGTTTGTTTCATTTGGTCCAATTGGGAATTCTACTCCTGAAAGGTTTTAGCATTGCACCTCCATGATGTTAGATAGATTCAAATTAAAACTGTTCACATTAAAGAAGTAGCGGTCGTGGTATCCTGATGTTTGGTCTCTTATAAGGGATTAGCTCCAACCAAAAACATTATTTCATTAGACCCCATCTACTTGGTAAATGCACACACGTTGCAAAATCCATGCCACCAATTTGTGACACAGGTGTTTTCAACCACTCTGGGTGATTAGACCAGGTGTTGGGTGGAGTTGTGCTGCGCTTGGGAATAATGGGATGTCTAATAAATGATGCATGTGGCCCAGCCAGATGAGGTACACAACGTTACTAGTAGAAGTGTGAGTGAGGTAGCCATCAGACGGTTCTGAAAAGAGGTTTAATTAGGCAACATACATATATGGAACCCCTTTGTGGGTGGACCTGGAGTCTATGGGATCCTGTTCCAACACACACACACACATGCAGTCTTTAGCCCTTAAGTGTGCATTCAGACAACAATAGCTATTAAGCAGGTGGGTCCAATGTCTGAAAAATGCCGAGACAGTTAATTTATCCCACACATGACGCACACAGCTAAGGGTACCAACTATTCACCATGGTCTACAGTCTGCCACACCAGTCCAGCTGTTGGCAGCAGTGCACCTATAAGCTGGTTTTAGGACCAACAGTAATCAGCAGTGTAACTTGTATGACATGCTGGATTCACTGTGAATATTAGTGTTATTTCCAAAACAGTACACAATTGTAGCAGAATCAGTTCTTCATGAGGCTGATAAGAATAATATTGCACATCTGACACTGTCAAGATAAATATATCAAGACCACAAAGGAAATCAAAGATTTTTTTTTTAATATTTTGAGCTTTAAACATTTTATTAGACAAAAGTATTCAAAATGATTATGTCACTACTGTACATAATCAGTATTATCATTTTCAACTTACAGATAATCTACTGTCATGCTATTGCTGAGGCATTACGGGAAAACATTAGTCTTTCTCTTATGGATCATTTGCTCCCTCCATACACATGTTCCGTCCATTGAATACAATTATCAGATACAGTCTGATTACATTGTATGGTCGTGTATTGCCTTGTCTGTTGATTTTGTAACTGGTTGGCTAATTAAATATGCAACTTTCTTTATCTCTTATTTTGTTTGCATGTGTCTTGACACTTGTTCAAAATCATCCTGGCAATATCACTTGACTTGTGCCATGACTTTTTATCCTACACATTTTGCCATGGTAACCATATCATTCCTGTTCCCCCTCCTCCCCGCCCATATCCTCGTCCTGTGTCTTACGTCTGACTCGCCTGAATAAAAGTTCCCATGATGCACGGTGCCACCACCTCCACTGTTTCGTCGGCCTCGACCCCAGTCACCAATGTTCCTTTCGCTGAATCTGCTGCCTCGAATCAGGTTTGCTTCTTCATTTCAGTTCTCTTTTATTTTAGCTCTGTAGATTCTGAGTCACATCCATAGTATTTTTTTCATCAGGTTAAAGTGTCATGTATCATGTTCACATTTCATTTGTCTTCACTTTTAATCTGTTGTAATTTGAGCAAATGAAAACAATTTATTATGAGAGGAATCATAAAATCGGAGACTGTTTTCATCTAAATGTCTTTGATTGGTGTTGAACCATATCATGGCCCACTGTCTGGCTCAGCCTTTATTATTGCTCATGTATATCTATGGACATACAATATGTGCTCCTGCAACCGCAGTGTAATTGGAATATGTTAACTCTCTGTTTTTGTCGAAGTAAATTTACCCCTAAATGTAGCGTTAATCCGCCTTTAATCTCACAAAATGGGAAATGTTATCATAAAAACTCAGTTAAGAGATTATTCTATTTTTTATTGCAATATTTTAAACAGCAAGTTACATACCCAGACATTTGCATCTTTTAAATTCTGCAGCTCTATTTGAAGAGAAGCCGCTTTAGCAGCAACAATTATTATCTTTCATCTTATTGACTCATTCCTATGTTAGACGCAACAATCCCAAAAAGATGCCTTTGTGAAACGAACAACAACCAAAATATTTTTCAGATATATGACATGGTTTATTAGATTATCTACATTTTTAATATTCATTATTAAAAGCCTTTTCATTTTCTATCAATCAACAAAAAGTTGATATACTGTAGTATACAAAGAAGTTTGACTTGTATTCTTTGTCCACTGTGATGTGATATTGATGCTCAGTTGTTCACTTCTAGAATTGATTTATCATTACACTCAAAATGAAGGTCAGTTTTCCTTAGGTGATATATTTAAATTACTGTAACTGAACTCAGAGGTAAAGGATGAAATTTCTTTTACAGTAAACTAGTTCCTTTTGGAGAGGAGATATTATTAATGTCACCAATTACCAGGGTTTGTTTGGTATATTACATTGTATATCACAGTCACCAAAGCATTATGGTTTGGTCAGTATTTCTGTAATTGCATTATTTTACGATGCCCACTTACATGCACTTTCTGCAAATGACATGAGAGCCACAGGTAGAAAAAAAGAGGTATCCTTCAGGATGTTTACGTATTTACTTATAACAAGCAATTTGGTTTTATCATAAAATAGTTTGACACTTGTTTCTGTTTGATTAAAGTCTGATTGAAAATTTGAGGTGAAATCTTCATAATATGACAATTTTTTCAAATGTTGGTTGCTAGCTGCTTTGGTTGTACAGTTGTGACTTATTCAGTGCCCACATCCATGAAGCTTCGGTGCCGACCTGATTACTTGCTTTGGTCGTCAATTTAAACATGAATATTGTCATGTTTAGACTGAATTTTTAAAATATGGAAAATGCTGGCTTCACATTATAAATAATAATGTCCTACTGGAATTCACCAGTCTGCTTCTTTCCCTGCCCTCTCTCTCTTCCAGTAGACCCCTCGGAGCTTCTGACATCTGATCCAGTGGAGTTCCATTGTGTTCCCATGGAAACCCATTTCTGTCCCGTCCCCAAACTGCTGGTGGCGGGTCCAGTGGCACTAAACTCAGTAAGCCTTTCTCGAAACCCCAGTTAAAGTCCCTGAAGCCTGCATACTAGTAGAGTGGTCATCTTTCTGAATGCAGCAAACATGTGCCTCACCTATGGTGCACACTGACTGAGTGGCAATGTGACGATAGTAATGATGACAGTAACGAAGCTGCGATGGTTCATGCAATACAAGCCTGGACATTTTACTGTTGCGTAACGACAGCCATCCTGATGCATACTGACTTGATCAGGCCTTGA